AGGAGAGCCTATGATCAGGCCAGGTGGACAAAGACCTATAATTCTTACTTCAAGAACATAAAAAATAGGGATTTGAAAAGACAGCATGAGTAGCAGAGAGCGGCATATGAGGTATCTATAAAGGATGTAGTCGATAGATCTCCTCCCAGATAGAGGCGTCACACTACTAATGCAGCTTCTACATCACAGCCAAATATACCAACTACATCTCAGTAGAATGACCCCTCTATTGTCCCCCCCACCGAGCCAATAGCACAGACCGACACTCGATCCCAATATGCTAGTACTGATTCTAGTTACAGATCCGATGTCACTCAACTGCACACAGACTTCATTTCATTCAGAGCTGATATAACCGGACGATATGAGGATATCACGAGGTAGCATGATGATCTAGTGAGCAGACATGATGATTTACTGCGGAGGCACGATGACTTAAGGGCAGATGTAGCCGAGGTGAGGCATGAGCTTGAAGCATTACAGACTAAACTTATAGCTTCTCTCACTCGCCATAGCCATGAGATGTCTGACATGCTACAGCACATTATTGATATGACGACTCCAGATCCTACTCCCTGATTCCACCATTTTCTCTCTCTACTACTCATTATATGTTCTGATACACTGCTATTGCTAAGATATTTTTGCACTATCTTGACACTTGCACTGGTTTTGGATACTTTGGATATTATTTTTGCATTGCACTACTATACATTGATCTTTGGATATCTAGTTTTGGATTTACTTGTTATATATGGATTTTTGGGATTTTGATTTCAGTTTTGGATATTATGAGCTTTACATTTTTAGATGCCATGATTTTTGCCTAGTTCTCAATTTCACCTCTCATTTACATCATTAATGCATATACTTTGACAGTTGTTAGTGTGACCATTTTCAGATAATTTTTTGAAATCTAAGTTTGGGGGTGCGCCTTCCAAAGCTAAGCTTCCATTGCTGGGTTCCTTTTGCTTCACCCATTTGGTATACTCTTTCCATTATATGTTACTTCTTTGCATATTTAGAACAATGCATAGATTAAGTTTGGGGGTGTGTTAGCATATCTTACATGTCGCACTTAGTTTCTATGCATGCAGTATGATTTGAGAGTCTTGAGCCATGATTTTGATCTTTTGAGGACCATGATACTTAGAATTTAAAAATTGCTTGACTTAAAAGTCCAATACTCCTTGTATGCTTTATGGATGCCATTTAGGAGTAAATTTTTTGAAAGATTGATATCTTGCTTGCACTTGTGGTCCATATCATCCTAATTTTGTGATTGTTTTGAGATTTACTTTAGGATTCTACACTAGCACTCACATCCACAATCCCTGATCTAAACAATATCCATCCTCCTAATCCCTCAACACCAGACCAAGTCATTTGGATAGCAGGACTTACAGGGAAGTATAGCCTTAAACACACCATAGCAACCATTTCTCAATCCCACACCCCAGCACCATAGACGAAGCTAGTTTGGAATTTCATTGCTACTCCTGAGCAAAAGATGATCTTGGGGATTGCAGTCCAATCTAAGCTCCCCACTATAGACTCCAAATGCATGTCGTACCTTGAATCAGCTAATTAATGTTTGCCAGTTATGCTCCTCCCTACCAGAAATACACTCCCACATCTTCTTTGATTATGGTTTTATCTCCCCAATTAAGAGATTCATCCAAGACAAGTGTAGGTTTTACACAAGAAGTGATAGCTGGCCACAATTTGTCACCTGGGCTGTTCACCATTGGAACTTATCTAACCCAAGAATTGATATGTGTCGATTAGCCCTTGCTTCCATGATGTATTATGTTTGGCAGGAAAGGAACAATAGGGTTTTTAGAACCTCTCATTCTTCCCAATCATCTGTACCGAAGCTCATATGTAACTCAATTGGTGATGCCCTAAGATCAAGATCTCGCCACAATGAAAGCTACTCACAATTAGCTAAGGAATGGTTCTACTCTCCAGTTGCATTTGTCCGCCGCCATTACCTCTAGACCTGTAAGCAGTGTAATAGTCTCAGTGTGGCTGAAAACCACCTTATCACCGGAGTTTGTTGGGGCATCCATTTCTAACGGGCTAAGGTTGTTAGCACCGACTTCCCTCACATTTTGTTAGGGGGGCTTTTTGCTCTAGGTTGGACTCCAATGTGGGTTTTGGGGTTATATATGTTATGTGTATTGCAATTGCTCCTCAATGGGCCTCTCTTGGGCCTAATGTACATCCTTAATAATTATCAATATATTGCTTTATCGTTCTTCGAAGGAAAAATAAATAAATAAATAAACAAACGGAGAAGATATCCCATGAATTCAAATTTTACAACATGGTTGATGATCGATGTTGCATTTAGGCCTACATCGAATATAATAAATTATTGTCACTAATCCATTTTATTTTATTTTTAATAAACAAAAAACAAGTACAAATTTAAGGACTATTCAACTCCTACATTAAAGATTTATTATTATTATTTTTAGGGTAAAGTGCATTAAACCCCCTTGAACTATTAGTCCTTTGCAAGAAACCCCCCTAAACTACAAAAAATCCCCCTGAACTATGATTGTGTTGCAATTTACCCCCTTAAACTATTGGTCATTTGCAAGAAACCTCTCTGAACTACAAAAAAACCTCCTGAACTATGATTTTGTTGCAATTTACCCCCCTGAACTATGATTTTGTTGCAATTTACCCCCATGACATCAGCTTCCGGTACCAAAAATTTTGAAAGACCAGTTTACCCTTATAACACACTGCGTCGTTTTAACTTATACACTTCTTACATTTTTTTTTTTTTTTTTTTTTTTTTTTCTGCCAAAAGATGTTTTTCACCCAACACAACCCAAAACAGAGAGCTAGATAGAGAAAGAGAAGAGACCAAAGAAATCCGAGGTTGGCGGGATGGCTCGATCTCGGATGATGGCGGCTTATGCGCGGAGGACTTGGCTGTGATGAGAGCTCAGTTGACTCGGTCGTGAACTGTGGAGGCGGCAACAAGCTCAAGGGGGCTCGACGGTGAACTGTGGACGGTTATGTGCTCGAAACACGGACGGTGGTGTGCTCGGCTATGGAAATGGCGGAATAGGCTGGCGAGCTTGGAATGGACCGGCGAGCAAGGTGAGCTAAACAGAGGGCAAGGCGGTGACGGTGATGGGCTGACGCAACGGTGCAGAGAAATGCGATATATATGGTCGACGGATCTGGCGGGTGGTGCAACGGCTATGATAGGAGATCCATCGATCCAAGCAACAAATTCCTCGGCTTCATCGTCCTTTTCAGTCAATCAATTCGCATAGATGGGGTAAACTGCAAAAAAATATATAGTTCAGGGGGGTTTCTTGCACATACCCCAATAGTTTAGGGGGGTTTTTTACAACTTTTATAATTCAAGGGGGTTTCTTACACACATCCCAATAGTTCAAGGGGGTTTTTTGTAACTTTTATAATTTAAGGGGGTTTCTTGCACATACCCCAATAGTTCAAGAGGGTTTAATGCACTTTACCCTTATTTTTATTTTCTACATGTGGTTCAATTCAACATTATTATAAGAATTTCCAGATTCCCCGGTTGTGGTATGTGCCATTTGATAGCAATGCCACTTACCTTATGCATATAAAAATTGGTACGGATATAATGGAACATTATTTCATGGGTGCTTGCCCAAAATGTAATAATTGTAAAAAGTAACACACATAAATTTGTCTTATATTTAATTTGGCAGTTATGATATAATTAATTATTTCATTATTATATAATAATGATTCTATTTTGGAAACCTATGATCCAAAAATATACATATGCGTATAATAGAGCCCACTGCTTGGACCATTCAAAAGGCATCCTTGATTAGTGTTCTTAATTCAGGCACCAAGTGAAGATAAAAGAATATATAATACACAGTTAAAGATGAGACAAAGCAAAAAATAAAATAAAATAAAAATTAAGCCAGGGAAAGATAATAATAATAATTTTAGTGATCGAGACAAAGCAAATTTTTTTTTTTCTATTTTTTTTAACTATTCCCAGGGGAAAAAAATCTGTGATGGAGGCATAATTTTAATTTAAGAAAGATATTTTATTGATAGAAAGGAGAACCATTAGTTCACAATTGTCCGTGCTAAATTACATGCTAACTTACAAACAAGCCTAACTATTTTTCTCTCTAAGGAGATTTGAACTCTAATGCTTTGTTTGGTAGGAAAAAAACATAAAAATAAAAAATATAATGGAAGGGAAAAAAGAAGGGATAGATGAGACATTCTTAGGGAATAGATGTTTTTTTTTTTTTTTTTTTTTTTTTTTTTTTTTTCTGGGTAAATATGGAAAATTTTTATAGATATAATATGAATAGTACAAAAAACCAACAAGGGCATCCCCTTGGTCATAGAACAAGCTGCAACCACAGCAAAATTAAGACATGACTAAACCTAATCTAGCCATGCAACGAGGAGGAACCAATTTAACTTAGGGAATAGAATGTGTATTTCCTTCGTTTTGTTCGGTTGAATAAAATGTGTATTTCCTTCTTTTTGTTCATAATTTACTATGTTAGTTAATATAGAAGGAAAAAGAAAGTTTTAATTATTTTTACCATTATATTCAATAATGTTTATAATATTATAATTTATCTAAGACAGTACTATAATTAAAAACTTATATAATTTAGGATAATATTTAATATAATACATCAATAATGGTCCACTTATTTTCCCTCCTTTCTCCCACCCATTTTTAGGTTGTATCACTTTTGCCGAACAAATGAAGTTTGTTATTTTCTTTCTATTTTCTCTCCTTACATCTTTTTTATTTCCCACGACATTACAACCATTGATCACGGAAGAAAGAGTATTAGAATTACACAATAAATTTGAATTAAAATTATTGAGAACTGTAAGTAGATTAGAGTTATATAATGACCATATAAATTTGGATTAAAATGAATGTGAACTAGAATGAGATAAGATTTATATTATGACCACGGTAAATGGCTCGAAGTTATAACACTAATCAATAGTTTAATCTAGATCTTCATTTTTTTTTTTTCAGAAAGTAAATTATTGTATATAAATGTGCAAATGTACAGGCGGGCCGAAGCCCCAAAATATAGCCCAAGCATCAATGACCCTAAGTCCAAAATCTAAGGCAAAGCTCACAATGAGCAAGATAACCCTAAAAGTAAACAGATTCAATAATCAGTGCACCAACACACGTGTAAGCCAACTTAATCCGGTGCGAGAGAGAGAGAAAGCAACAGAGAAGGTCCGAAAACATCATCCCGCTGATCATCTGAGAATAGACATCAAAGTCTAGTGTGCGTCAGGGAATGAAACAGATCTGATCTGATCTGAGGCCATACCTTCAATCAATCTGGCGGCTCCGGCGGTGGCCGGATAAATTCAGGAAGATCCCAATCGAGTTGCACTCTTCTAGCCTGCGCAGAATCTCTAACCTTTCTTGTAAGTAGCTTTTGTCTAACCATATCCGTGATTTGTTTTAGAATTTCCATCTACGAACGCCTCTGATTCTTGTGTTTTCTACTATTGCGCTCTGTCCACAATCTATTGACCATGGTGGAGAGAGCGAGCTTACATACCTCTGTGGAGGTGCTTTCATTTTTCCATCGATCTGAGGCCTGAATAATCAATTCATTCCATGATGAGGGGGGAAAGTGGATTCAACATTTTCCCTATATAGATAACCAAATTGGTTTAGTGAAGTCACACTAAAAAAAAAAAGTTGAGTGTGTGATTCGTCTTCCCGTTAGCAAAGCAAGCATAGTTTGGAACCAAGAGCAGATCGCATACACCTACGGTCAAGAGTGGAAAGCCGATTCTGTACAACCAGCCAGAGAGTGAACTTACATCTTGGGACTGAGAGTGAACTCCAGACCAAACGGTGCCATGGTTTTTGCTGGTGATGAGGTACAAGCCAAAACATTGTGTGGGATTCAGAGAATGTGCTACTTTGGGAGGGGATCCAAATGGAAGTGTCATGGGCTTCACCAGGAGGATCAATCGTTAGGAGCTCTAGGAAATTAGCAATTACTTCGGGTGGGAAACTCCACTCATTGTTGATCACAAGTGATGTAAGTTTTTGATTGGGAAGAATGCCAGAATTCTGGATTGCCTCCGCAGTGCACCTATAAGAGAGATGGACTCCACCAGTCCAATTGTCCTCCCAAAAAAACTTGTGATATCCGGAACCCACCTTTTTCTTCAACATTGTCCTAGCTATTCCCCTTAGCTGTACGATCCTTTTCCAGTTGGCAGAGCAGGCCTGAGGTGTGTTAATTGTCCATAGACATCTATCTCTGATGAGTTGAACATTCACCCATCTGGCCCATAAACTATCCCTTTGGTTAAAGGCTATAGTGCATAAGTGCTGCAGATTAGAAGCCAAATTAGCTAAGGCCAAATTCTTAAATCCCAATCCACCACACTCTTTAGGCTAACATACTGCCCACCAAGTGATCTTAGCCCCTGTGTGCTTGTACTCAGTTTCTGACCATAGAAAATTCCTCAGGATGCTGTTGACCTCTGTGATAACCGACATAGGTAGGATAAATATGGAAGACCAGTAGTTAACCATACTATACAAGACCGATTGAATAAGTTGAATCCTTCCCGTATAAGAGAGTAAATTGGATGACCAGTGCGCCATTTTGCGAGTGATCTTCTCCACAAGCCCTCTACAATCAGCTACTTTAAGTGTAGTGGAGATTAGGGGAACGCCAAGGTACTTAATAGGTAACTCACCACACTCAAACCCAAGTAGGGTCTTGATATCATTAGTCAAATTTATATCAATCCCTGAGGTGAAAAACACACTTTTTGAGCAATTAATGCAGAGACTAGAGATAGTAGTGAAATGGTCCAAAGCTTGCTTAAGAGTAGAGACTGATAGGATATCCCCATGACAAAAAAGTAAGAAATCATCTGCAAAGATTAAGTGAGAGATAACAAGCTTCTTACACCTAGAGTGATACTTGAAAGAGGATCTGTCAGCAATGAATCTGGAAATGATTGATGTTAGCACCTCCATTGCTAGGACAAAAAGTAGTGGAGATAACGGATACCCTTGCCTTAGACCCTTGACTCCTTGGAAATGACCATTGAATTCCCCATTGAGTGAAACTGTAAATGCTGGAGTAGTAATACAAGCTTTGATCCACCCAATGAAGGAAGGAGGGAAACCAAAAACTAGAAGAGCATCTAATAAAAAATCCCAGCCCACTGAATCAAAAGCCTTCATCAAATCAACCTTAATAGCACACCTAGGTGGCCTAAGGTGCTTGTGGTACCCCTGCAAGAGCTCTTGGGCGAGCAGAACACTATCTCCAATCTTCCTACCTTTGACAAAGGCATTTTGGCAAGGATCAATCAAGGAGGGTAGAACCAATTTTAGCTTGTTAGGTAATAACTTAGCTATACATTTGTAGATTGTGTTATAATAGGATATAGGCCTAAAGTCATTCATAGTAGTTGGATTGGGAACCTTTGGAACCAGTGCAATATAAGAATTGTTGATCTCCTTGAGCATTCTTCCATTGACAAAAAAATCTCTTATTGCGGATATGACATCCCCTCCCACAATAGACCATGCACTACGGTAAAAGTGAGCATTATCGGGCCCTGGAGACTTATTCTTACTGAGTGAGAGGAAACATGGTTGAATTTCAACATCTGTAGGGATTAAGTAGTAACTATTCTTAAGTTTGATAAGTTAAAGGTCGGATGTGATATTTTGCACTCTACTATTTCATTTTTATTATTTATTTGAGTTTTAAAAAGAAAAAAAAAATGACACAATTATCTTTAATAATAGGGTTGTATAACTCAGATAATTTTAATTGTGCTATTGAAGGATAATTGTGTCAAAAAAATATATATAAAAAAGAAAATGTACAGTACAAGAGTAGAAAATGGATTATCACTAAATTATAAGAAGATTTTGAAAACTTTAAAGGGGTTTACTTTCCAGATTTTGAAATATATTTATACAACTATTAAAAGTACTGTATAGAGTTTTGGTCTTTCATATACATTTTTTTTTTTTTTTAACTATTGGTTAAAATATGTAGATTTTTATATTATATATTCTTACACATTATTTATCAATAACATTTAATACCATTATTCTTACTAAGTTGACTCTTGGACATTTAGAAACTCCCACTACGAAGTTTTTTATAATTTTCACAGCAATAATAATAATTTATTTTATTGATAAATTAATTGAGTACATGCATAGATTTTTGGTCTTTTATATACATTTTTTAACTATTGGTAGAAATATTATATAATTTTTACACATTATTTATCAATAACATTTAATACCATATTCTTTCTAAGTTGACTCTTGGACATTTGGAAACTCCCACAACGATTATTGTTGTTGTTGTTTTTTTTTCTTTTTTCAGCAAGATTAATAATTTATTTCATTGATAAATCAAGTGACTCACTAAAAATCGACCATTAGAAACATACAACCAAAATGGTTTATCACTAACAACCGTACAACCTAGTGGAAGATTAAGAATTCATTTCCAATCCAATTTTTGAAAAAGTTGCTTGATGAAACCTCATTCCGCCCCTCAGACACTAGATCTATCAATTTCACCACCCTAAAATTTTTCAAAAAGTTGCTCGATGAAACCTCATTTCGCCCGCTTAGACACTAGATCTATCAATTTCACCACCCTAAAAATTGACGAGTCAACAATTTGAGAAAACAACCTGGGATTATCCTTGTCAAGTATCCAATCATCATCCCAAATGCTCACATCAATCCAATCCCCCACATGCCAGCATAGACTTTCCTTCACCAATTTTTTTGCCTCAAGGATACTCTACCAAGTCCATGAAGCATTAGACCCTTTAATAGCGTCCAAAAAATCACAATGAGGTAAGTATTTACTTTTGAACAGCAGATACAGTAGACCTTTCCTCCCAACTTGAAAGCTGCCCATGCTTTGCCAAGATTAACTAAGTTAAAAGTATGGATATCATGTAAACCCATGCCCCTATTTGCCTTGACTTCCGGAAACTGCTTCCAATTAATCCAGTGAGTCGATCTTATCCTTCCCATTCGAATCCACCCACCAAAATTAGAAATATGCCCCTGAATATGATTACACGCATCTTGTAATAATTTAAAACATAACATAGTATACGTAGAGATGGCTTGGAGCACGCTTTTAATAAGAACCTTTTTACGTCTTGCAAATAACAATTTTCTTTTCCAACTCCAGATCTTGTTTGACACTCTTCTATCTAAATATTTGAAAACTTCCTTCTTTGATCGACCCACAGATAAAGATGATACAGAATATTCGACTAGATAAGAATTCCAAGTGACATAGAGATTCAAAGGGTATAGATAAACTTAAAGAGGTAGCAATAACAACTACTACCCTCTCCAATGACTCTTACAATCCATAATAGACAAGGACAATAAATTTGTTTGATGATAGAAGACTACTACCATTAATGCTTCTATAAAAAAAGTCATTAGTCAACCTAAAAATGGACGCCATAAATCTCATATTTAATCTTTTATCGGATATTTAATCGTCAAGTATTAACTTGACCGTCGGAGTGCACCCAGACGGCACTATGCCGGTCATCACTTCTCTCTTATCTTGTAGGAATTGTCACCGGCTCTGGAGCGTACAGATTTTTGCATCAACAGTTGACGCCATCTATGGAAACAAGTATTAATCGCCATAAATTGGTTTAGACGCAACATGGTTCCACACATATATTACTATTACAATAGTACTTCATGTAGTATTTGCTTTGCTCCCTAAGACTCTATACCAATCTTATCCATCACATATACTGGCAATGAAATATATATCCTCACCGGATGATAACGGATGAGTACTGAAAAGTGCGTATTTAAACCCCTTAAGTTTGAGTATTCTAAGATCTTTATCTATCTTATTTTTTCGTTTTAGACTAATTTCGTGTTATTTCCTTTTTCAGGTCAATAATGTTAAAACAGGCTAAAAATGATTTCTTAAGGCCTTTTTGGAGTCAAACTAAGTCTTAGTGAGAATCTGGAGCAAAAAGGAGGCTGATCTGGAGCAAAAAGGAGGCTGATGCTGAAAATTGCCAAGTGAGATCGATCGAAGAAAAGTGAGATCGATCGAACCCAGATCGATCGAAGAAAAGTGAGATCGATTGAACTGTTCGCGAAAGTTATTAAAAAGTAGATCTAAAGCTCATTTCGCTCAACTCGGGCTGTGCTTGAAAGAGGAGATCCTAGGGACGAGTTCTCACATTCTTGGACTCTAAAAGCCTTGTATATATGAGAGATTGAACTATTTTTGTGGAGAGATCCATATTTTTACATTGCAATTTCTATATTGTTGTAGTTTCTCTCTTTGGAAAGTTAGGGATTAGGGTTTGAAGAAAAGAGGGAAGTGGAGGCACATCTCAAGAACCCATCGCTAGATCCATTCACTCTTTCTCTCTAGAACTTCAAAGAAGAAGAAGAAAAAGAGGAAGAAGAAGATGGAGTCATGTTTGGAGGCTTACCCCTGAGGGTTTCATGACCACATTCACCTCCTCCATGATTGGCTAGATCTACACTTAGGGCTTGGATGAGCCCTAAGTCTTGTGTAATCTAAACCTTTGTATTTCTATTTTTGGGGATCTATATATATTGTTGTGATTAGTGCTATAGCCTTGTGAATAAAATGAATCTTGGTATATTTCTATGATTTCTATGGTTTAATTCTTCCTATTAATTCTCTAGTTTATTTATATGTCTATGTGTGATTAAATTGGGAATTATGTTTTACATAATTCATATGGTTTAATTCTTCCTTATGATTCTCTATTTTAATTACATGTTGTCTTATGTAATTATTTGGGAATTAATCTCTACACTAGATTCTCTATGTTGGTTGCATGTCTATGTGTGACTAATTAAGGATTTAGTGATGGCTAAGCATGGGTTTTCATTGAATGAGTTTGTTAACTAATTTGATGGATTATACTTATGCTTGATGGGTTATTTTACAATTTAATTCATGTTTGTAGGTAGGTAGACAATATATGCTTGATTTGATACTCTACAATTATTATTACAAATTCTATGATTCTCTATATTGATGTGTGCTCTCATTAGACCCATTTGTTAACAAATTGATGGATTATACATTTGTCTTGGTGGGTTGTTCTACACTTAGTTTTCTTGTTGGTTAGGTAGACAATTCACTCTTGCATTAGATACTTCACACTTACATGCAAATTGTGTTTATGTGGCCACATCTAGATTGCAATAATGTATTCTCCATTAATGGAAAGCAAATGGTTAATTACATGAGCTTAGTGGTGATTCCAACACTCTAAGACCTCTCTTCATATCTCTTAAATCCCTATCTCTCACTAGTATACTTTAATTGCATTTTAAATTAATTGCATCTTAGTGTAATCACACAACCAACCTTCCTTTGTAATCTTTTGATACATTAGAGTCGAAGTTAAATTCGAACACGTATAATCCCTGTGGACGATCCCTACTTGCTATACTTCATTAGTTGTAGTAGTGGTTTTTATAAATGTAAATTTGACTAGAAAGGCTTCCGAAACCATATTCATATTTTGACCTTGCAAAGCGACTTCTCGCATTAAAAATTCCATTTTCTAAACACATAGGAAGGGGCTCGTCAATAACTGCCACCACATGCCATCTCTAGCTACCGTGACCTTTTGTTCAAGATCCTCTTCTGAAAATCCGCTCCTCAGACCGAATTCGAGTTCATTTCGTTCAGGAACAATAATCTCTTTGGAGCCCCTTCCATATCTTTCTCGATTACGCTGGTGATCATTCAAGTATCACAATGCCTTTGAAATTATATTTCTATCCTTCAATGACATGTGGGAGCTTGCTCCATGGGGGCATCACTAGATCATTGATGAGCCATTCAAAGTCCTTTAGATTTTTCCATCTTTAATTGGCCACAACTTGCTGATTGTAAATTATGGGCTGAACTTAAGGATCTGATGTTCACTGGACAATACCTCGCCTTTGATGACGACAGGCTAAGTTATGATATTATATTTCGGAAGCTAAATAGAGCTCTCACAAGTGAAGCATGGAATTTGAATACCTTTACTCTGATACTGATTTTCCCTGTGAGGCATTTCTGTCACTGCCCATCCGTACTAAGACAAGAGTACAACTCGCCATGTATAAAGGCTCCCAAATGTTCTACTTTTGAATTGAATATGAGGAATTTGGAGCACTGATTTCAAAAGTTTTCCTCGTGTTCAAGGTTTCTCAGAAATTGAAGCTCATCAAGGCTAATCTCAATGACCTGGATGCTTTTAAAAAAAAAAAGAAAAAAGAAAAAAAGAAGGTGATAAATAGTGGTGGTAATTAAGCTAATGTCATAAGATAACCCTTATCAAAGGGGTGAGCTAAGTAAAGCTCAAAACTAGTACACCCCCTTTATCAAAAGGGAAAGCTAAGTAAAGTTTGAAATTACTACGAACCTTCCTTGTTAAGTGAAGCTCATAATTGTCATCTCGTACTAAAAAGGATTGATATTAAATTGCCCATATATTATAAGGGCCCGGGCTAAATGAATCCCGTAATCCTCATCCCTATATTATAAGGTATTGACATTAAAGTGCTCCGTACTATAAGGACTCGGGCTGAATGAATCCCGTAATCCTCATCCCTGTATTATAAGGGATTGACATTAAAGTGCCCTATACTATAAGGGCTAGGGCTGAATGAATCACGTAATTTTTATCCCTGTATTATAAGGGATTGACATTAAAGTGCCCCGCACTATAAGGGCCCAGGCTGAATGAATTTCATAATCCCCATCCGTGTATTACAAGGGATTGACATTAAAGAGCCTCGTACTATAAGGGTCCGAGCTAAATAAATCCCGTAATCCTCATCCCTGTATTATTAAAGAGCCCCGTACTATAAAGGCTCGAGTTGAATGAATTCTGTAATCATTATCCCTGTATTATAAGGGATTGACATTAAAGTACCCCATATAATAAGGGTTTGTGACGACGGCCGTTCCAATACGCCAAACTAAATGTAGTGAATGTGTGGTTCAAGAAAAGCCTTTTATGTCAAATTTAAATTTATAAAAACCACTACCAACACCACTACTAACGTAGCAAGAGTGAGTAGGGATCGTCCCAAGGGATTATACGTGTTGGAATTTCAACTTCGACTCTAGCGTACCAAATGATTGCAAAAGAGAGTTGGGTTGGTTGATTATACTAAATGAGCTAAACTATAATAAAGCAATGCAATAAGATAAAGAGTAAGTAAGAAGGAAAGGTCTAGGGGTGTAGAGATCACCACCAAATAATACTATTCCAAACCATAATCAAGTGACTAATGAGGGAAATGAATGTGTTACAACAATGTTGTGTGTGTAAAAGACATTCAATTGGTAATGGTGACTCAACAAGTGCAAATTGTCTCAATCAACATGTGTGAGGCCACAATACATCTATTGGTAGAGGAATATATTGTCTAAACATCATGTGAAGATAACAAAATAACAATTCAAGTCATTGAACCTTTCATTAAGCTCATAGTCCAAGCAATCCATAAGGATGACTTATTTAAACATGCATTATCTAATCATCATGTGAGAGGTACAAAATATCTATTGGGAGAGGAATAAATTGTCTAAACACATGTGAAAGATACAACATATCATAACTAATCATTAATCCTTCATTAAGCTCAAAATTCCATTACACCACAATATTAGAGCATATGCTTCTTGCATTCAAAAGCATGGAACATCAAAGAACAAGCATGAATTGTTTCCCCAACTAACACTACACTACTTAAAAGAGAAACACAATCTATCAAGGAATAAGTGTGAACCATCTAGAGACATAACAAGAGCATTACATTAAGAACTTCATATTTTGGCAATCTCAAGATTAAAGGCATTAATACACATAGACATGCATCAATAACATTAAATCTAGAGGTGAGCATCTACTCTAGCATACATAGACATATAGATAGAGAAAATGATCAATTAGAAACATTAATCCATAGAACTCAATGAATAATCAAGATCTTCATAAGTTCAAGAATCAAAATATGCATTACAACACAAATCCCTCAAAATTACACAAGATTAGGTAAAGAAAGCATGTTTGGGGCTAACTCTAGCCCCAAGAAGATGTCTAGCCACTCATGGTAGTGATGATCCAACCCTCAAGGGCTAACTCCATGGCTGCTCCTTGTTGGTGAAGATCTCCTCCAATGGTGCTCTAGCTTCCTCCCTTCTTCCTCTCCAAGAATAGCCTCCAAGGTGATTTTCAATGTGTGATAAGAGACTCTAGACTCCCCTCCAAAAAGTGTATCATATTCCTTATATAGGTAGGTCAAATACACCCTATGATGAGCTGTGGTCGTGCAAGGCATATTCTCCAATGATTGGGTGAAGGACGGAATAAATGAGCTGGACTTTAACTTTTTCTCGCTGGAGGAAGTTCGATCGATCGAACCTTAACTTGGATCGATCGAAGATGGGTTCGATCGATCGAACTGCATCTTGGATCGATCGAAGTGGTCTGACTCCTCCGGATAAGGACAAGGCTGAGATATTTCGAAGATATTTATGAGGAAAAGGACAAAAGTGGTTGGTAGGCGTACAGCTGTGGATAAGATCAATCATTTGAATAGGACAAAATAGGGTTCGATCGATCGAAGGTGATGTTGGATCGATCGAACTTGGAATTTCAGCAAAGGCCAAGGTTGGATCTATCGAGAAGTACTGTGATCGATCATAGATGTTCGATCGATCGAACTCTAAGTTGGATCGATCGAACTTTTCAGCTACACAACTTTGATTCCTTTTTGCTCCTTGCTTTCTCCACTTTGCTCCCTCCTTTGGTTTATCTCAGGATTGCTTCAATTAAGCTCTTATTTGGCTGAGTTAGCTCAATTTTGGGATTAGTGCCTGAAAATATAAATAACACGTAATAAGTTTAAAACGGCAAAGTAAGATAAATAAAGGTACTAGAATGCTTAATCTTAACGGATTTAAATGCGCACTTTTCAGTGCTCATCACACCCCCAAACTTAAATATTGCTAGTTCCTAGCAATGAACTAAGAAGTAAAGGAATGAAATGAACAACTAAACAAGTATAAACTGGAAAGCAAGTAAAATGATAACACCATTTTCGTAGGGAACACGATTGCATTTAGCATATGCAACAAGCCTTTTAAACCCCTAGGTTACCCCTAGTGGATGAGTGAAGTCTCGTGAGGGTTTCCAGAAATGGTACCCACAAACATTAATCTCATTCTTTCAAAAGAGGCACCAATATTGCAAACAAGCATTGGGAGAAAACTACCTCAAGTATGCAATTTTTCAACCGTTTTCAAGCAATCTCCCAAAATCTCGACATCAAACAAGCAAGCATGGTCCTCCACACATCAAGAAAATGATCATGAAAATCGAAACAAGTCTAGAATCCATGTGAGAGGTCCGGCATCAAGTGTGTTGCTATCTTATCTAACTAGAGAAGTAATCACATCCTTACCCTCAAACTAGCACACAAATCTAGTACCGATCATCAAGATAAGAGAGTGGACCTTTTATTAAAGCTTTATTGTTCTAGGTGCGCTTATTCTTTTCACTCTATTTTTTTTCTTTTTTTCTTTTTATTGA